CTCTAGCCACTATTTTACTTTATTTTGTAGATTTTTCGTTAGCCATTCGACTCATTACTTTTTAAGTTAAATTAACACGTTCAACACATCGTGCGACACCAGTGGTAGGTTTGCATGTTATCTGTTGGACGTCGTGTGCCACCCGTGGTACACAGCACCCATAAGATATAACTGCACCTCATATCTCCAAAGTCCTATATGAAAATATTTATTTATTTGTTTTGTACGGACGGCTATAATGAAGCCTCTCCTTCCATCACGTACCACTTGGTGGAGTACGAATGCCAAGTTGAAAGGACAACTGAAATAAAATAAATTTACATGATTAAATCACTTTATTTTAAAATTACATCTAGAGACTGGCATTAAATTTTTCATTGTGAGTAACTGAAACAAAAAACACTAACTGAGACTTCTTTCATAAATAAAAAAACTTATGAAAACTGTAATATAGTATGGATAGAAATGAAATGGAAAGAAAATTTTTCATATTGATTAAGTGGAGCAAAAAACTAATTAGACGTTGTGTCTAAGTCTTTTATGAAAAGTGGAAAAAACAAGATAGACAGTGAATATTATAATTCATTCTAATTTTCATTATGTTTGTCAATGAAACACTCAAAGCACAATGTAGGCTTCCTATAACAAACCTTGAACTATTATCATCCACAGTAGGGGTTATTTTATCTGATGTCCCTTTTTTACGGTCGTAAAATTGTAAAATATTCATAATTCTTCTAAAAACGACAAGATTACTCTGAGAAAAAAATATTAAACATCATGATCATTGGATTATTATTATTATAATCATAATGTGCACCATCATGATGCACTCAAGAGAAGGCTGTCAATGGAGTCATTCTGTCGTAAAACATAACATAAAGCCATAAAATGAGCAGTATGTTCGCCTACAATTTAAGATCTAAATATGAAAACTAAGGGTATCTTAAGACGTGCCACCTCTTGTTGATGTATAGGAAACCCTCCAACTGTAATCTAATTACAATATATATAAATAAATATATAAACCTTTGGATAATAGCTAATTAGTGTCAAACATAATTTTTGATAAAAGACGCCGATATTTAATACTTCTGTATAAAGCTTTCATCTCGAGAAGCTCCACGTTTTGAAATGTTTACAAAATAATGAATACATAGTTAATCATGATGTATGTAGGCCAAAATAAATTTATATTGTAGACAGCACAGCTCACTTTCGAAATATGAAGATAAAAAAATGCTTTCACACTAAAAAATGCAACTAACCGACATACACGGCAACAGTTGGTTGTAAAACTTAAAAATTCCCAACATATTAATGATAGAATGTTACGATGCCGTAAGCTTAAATAATTACACTAATTGCCTAGGAGTAAGTCTCGTTGCTGTTTTCAAAATAAATTTCGTTACTAGTTTGTTCATATGTTTCAGAATAGCATGGTACCTCATGAAAACTAGTTGCACTCGGACAATAGCAGCAGGATGTTTCTTCCTTTCAATACCAATCTTCTGTACAGGTAATGTATATATAAGACTATTACAAATAATTAATCTCAGTCAGGGCCTCATTAACTTACAGTGTCGCTCTAGGCAGATATTTTTTTTGCTGCTCCCACTTTCACGTGATTGTTCCAGAAATGAAACTTGTATTGGTCACTTCATTAACCACGTGATCGTTCAGCGCTCTTGATTTGTACCTCGATCTAGTGTGACGAGTTGCGGCAGCCCCGCATTAAAAAAATAGATAAAAGTATAATTCATCAAATTTTTGTTGTCGCGTTCGTTCGATGTTCTTAAATTTCCTGCCATAGGCGCCTACTCTTCCTATGCGGCCCTGATCTCAGTGCATTTGGAAAGTTCGTTTTCTAAAAGTTTCTAGGATACCAGGTTTGTGTTTTACATATTGTTATGATCTAGTGTTCTCAAACTAGAAGCATCATATGCATATTCTATCAAAAGTTTAATCTCTATATGAGCACATAAGCTATTATCACAGTAATTGTAGTATGATGTTTTGCCAAAGTTCAAATGATTATACATATATATAAGGGTTGAGTAAGTTATATCAAAACGATTTTGGAGCCTCATCACATCGTTACTGTTCATGTTCAAAGCACACCCCTCTTCTCTGCTGCTTTTCATAATCTAATGTATTAGAATGACGGTTTCCTAGCACCCATTTCAAGAGCCCAATCGGACAGAAACCCATAGAGGCTACGTCCAGCAACTTGCCCAATATATTGATGTCGTCGTACAGAATAACACGAATACTCGTTTTATTCTCCAGCTGCTTGAGGTATGCGAAGGTTGAATGGGTACGTTGAGGACGAAACTTGTGTCGGTTTTTGACACTGAGATCCTTCTTTATTGTGTTGTATACTATTACCTAGGGCACGTGAACGACTTTTACTTCTAACCTTTCTATTCGAGGATTATCACCCGTTACAAGACGCCGCACTTTGCTTACGATAATTGAGGAACAATTTTTTGCAAATCTGTTGCTGAATGGGCCTGCTTCCTCAAATTGATCCGTGTTCCTTTGTTTTCCAACGCTATTAGATACAAGAGATATCTTCCTTCTTGGAAATTCTAAACCCCGATATGAACGCATCTTTATGGTGGTATACAAAGTATTCCCACACTTCCAAATGGAAATAGTGTCAGGATAATATTAAAAACTACAGAATTACAATTATGAAACATTGTACATACGAGCAAATATATACTAAACAACCCATTTACAAACAATAACGACAGTTTTGTAGCAGCAGGATCATCAATATGAGATACTGAAGTGATTGAAATAATTATTACAGATAATAAATATTTTACGTTAGTTTACATTTACCTCTATTTCATCGTAATATTCATAAAAATTTACCAGAAATAGAAATCGTATAACTAGTTTATTTGGAAATATCTTACAATTTAATACAAGGAAAACGGTAGACCATTATTATACTTGTGTTTACTTGGGTCAATCAATCATACAAGCTTAAAAAAATGTATGAAGTCGTAATTAGTTAAAAATACATTATTTCAACTTAACCGGTTAATATAGAATGGAAGAACTGCCTTTTGAAACTATATGTTTAATAATTCTATTGTTGTGACGTGTTCTATCGGTGGATGGGTTCCTTATAATTATTAGGTAAATATTATGCAAACTTCGACCCATATAATTACAACAAATTAATTTCTTTTCTTCTAATTTCTTTGTTCTACACATGATACCGATTACGTTCACTAATAGGCCTGACTTTTCAAACGATGTTTCAACAGAAATTCTGAAACTAATGTACACCTAATTTACTTGAAAAAATTCCTTTCTAATAAATGACAAACGCACTGAATAATTTATTAACTCGATCACTGAACGGATTAATTAATTTAACTCACTGTCTTTCGTTTTTATTTTGAACTAATTTTCTACATGCTACAGGGAACTTTGAGATTCCACAGAGGTGTAAACTTTCATGAAACTCCTAACCTTCACACAATCTTTACATCATGTAAAACTCATTCTAATGAACAAAACATTAAATTATTAAAAGTATAGCCTATAACACTGCCCCTTCCTGAATTGTAAAGGCCCTTGAACAATCACAATACACAAATAAAACAGTGCACTAAACTTTAATTTCCATAATTATCAATAAAATCGTTATTTACAATTAACAAAAAACAACATTTCCAATTGCCATATCATGAATTAAAGGTGTTAAAGTACAATAAAATTCTGATTAACAAAATGAAGTCTCGGATATCGTATTTTACTGTATCTAAACTTTTCATTTACAAAGTCTTGGTGGCTTTCTATCCTGAGGCTTATGGTGTGCAGAAGGAATGATCTATTGTTCAGAGCAACAACTAGGTGGTAAAAACACATGAAAACATTTGGAAACAAATGCTCCACAAAACTGAATTTTATGGCAACTGACCATTTATGTGTTTTCCTTTAACCTAACATCACACAACATCTTCCGAGATGTCCAGGATATGTGGATTGGTCAAATAAATTATGTTTCGTCATGCAGCCACATGTGTACAGTTGGAAGAACGACATTGATAACATACTGATCTGGGCAGGGATTGATGCTGATAGTAACAGTGATGTTCTGTGCTATAACATGGCATAACGAGTGACATATGACATAAGGATGCAACTTTACGATCATGACTGATGCAAATGCAATTGGTCAGAGCTTTCTTCTAATGGATGATAACACCCGCTCTCATAAAGCCCAACTGGTTAGGAACTTCCTGGAAGAAGTGAGTATTAAATAAATGGACTGTTTAGAATTCTGACTATATTTTAATCCATCAAAACAGTTATGGGAAGACACTTGGCAATATGCAATTCACATCCAAGTGGTGCTGACAAACTGGAAGCAGCTCTGAGGGATGGGTGGATAATATTACATTGAATATATCGTGTTAAGTATACCAAGCTGATGTAACTTGCATTACTGTCTGAGGTAACCATGTCTTATTAACAACTATTTTCTAATTGTTTATACAGCTGCAAAGTATGTAGCAATCATATGAACATTCGTGGATATGGACTACAGTAGCAAACATTTGCATAATATCACGTGCATAAAATTAAACTTTGAGGTGTCAATGACATTATTTAATAGCATTAGTTATGCCTTGTCATAGTTAGTATAATGAAAACTCCAATGATGCCTCAATTGTTTTAAGTCTTCAAGGTTTTAGTAACTAAATCCGTATTAACACCGTTTAAAAAAATTAGCTCTCCCTTTCAATATTTAGATCCATGTACTAATTTATTATTACTGTATGATTATAATACAGAGTTGTGCCTTTTGATATGTATAATGTATATTAATCTTCTTTTAGCCACATTAATAATATCCAAGAAATCGTCTAACGAAATAGTTTTCCTATGATATTATATACAAAGCTTTTTTTCTTTCTTCAATCTATCACTGTTTTTATTTTACTCTACAGAGATTAGAAGTCTGGTAACAAGCAGGAAAACCTTTCATGACTAACTTCTCAAACAAAAAATTCTCATAACATGCATCAATTTATTTTTTTAAATAGAATAAAATTTATTTAATTATTAGCTGTCGAATTAACACAATTTTATGAATAAAATCGTGTTAAGAAACAAACCATGCACATAAAACGGTGCTTTAACACTGTATGATCTTTGTATGGAGATTGAAAGCAAGCATGTTAAACAATTTAGTCACAATGCTTATACACACTGAAAAGTTTATTTAAAAATCATAGTTTTACGTATTAAAATTAAAATAGCCTGAAACTGAGATAACTGATAAATTTAAATTTAGTAGTTAAATTGTACTTTGGATGTAGTAGTTAAGTAAAAACCGATACATAGTCAATTTATGATATTTGCCAACAAGATTGATACACAGTTTTCTTTTTTAACACAAATACGTTTTAATATACACACAACAATACAATTTACAATAACAGTTATTATAAATAGTTATTACAAGGGATTTGTAAACAAAAGTTTCACAAACTTATAAGCAATATAAAGTCTTCTTTCTAGTCTGTAACTTCCTTGATATCTTATCGAGGGTTCACGATGAGTGGGTTAATTAGGAGTTGATGTAGGTACGATTCGCTTAACGGGAAGCTAGCTAGCTTTGTCCTTCGTTATTTATCAGCCACACATGCAGAGTTTTCCACGATGAATTTATATAATGCTTTCTTAAAAATACTAATGTCCGATGAGAATCCACTGAAGTTAAATGATTTGTAATGTTCTAACTTTGTAAAGGTTCCTGGTCAAATATCTGAATTTTTCCGATTGGTAAACGTTATAACAATAACAATTATAGCTTCCAACGTTTATAGCACACTAACTATAGCAAACTAATAATAAATACTCCTTTTTGGCGCGTGGCATTGGTTATATTTATAGGCGTGTGGAGGCTTTCTAGAAAATTCAGATTACGTAACAATACAAATTTAAGCATTTGCGTTCATACAAATATTGTTGATTCTTACTTTCGAGAATTTTCTACAACTTTGGAGAATAGGCGGGAGTTTCGCAATACATATCTAACATTAAGCTATGCATGTTTCTAAATCTAAACAAACGTTGATATTAAAATAAATATATAATAGTAAATTCGTTACAATACAAATTAGAGCAAACTAATTTATATAATAAATTGTTTTTACTTACGTAAGTATCACATTAAATGAAGGTAGTTTTGCCCTAGATAATGGGTGCTTTCTGGTTGATAATATAATCATAACTAAGAAGAACAGATAATGCTAAATTGAGAGAATGTTGTCACATTATTAACTATTTAGTGACACCACTATACTACACACAAGTTTCTCACATTATTTTAACAACTAAGCTTGATAAATGTATGTGTTCAACTACTGTTTACTTATTAATGTGTGAACTCTTAAATTTTGTATAATATGCTCTCTCTCTCTCTCTCTCTATTTGTGTATTGGTAAAACTTCATGGTGATTATAAAGGTAGTTTCACAGTTCAGGGTATTGTATATAACTAATGGTATAGCATAAGGACGTAAAATAAACAGAGAATGTTAAAGGTATCATATGGATTTAAATGTCATAGGTGTTACATATTGCACCAGTGACACTACTATGACCTAATATCTCATCAATGACAACAATTCAATCAACATTTGCTTCTCATATTTCCAGAATGGAATTGTGCACTTTGACATTTCTACTAAGGGCAAAAAGTGCTTCATCAATTCATAAAATATTGGGAAACTAATGGTCATTGACTTCTAGTGTTGACAAGAACCGCAATGTAAAATCAACATGCTGGATTAAATCGATTTCCTTCAGGACCTGAACAGGATGCAGCTCATAGGAAAACACTTGCAAAGTTGCTCTGAAAAGCCTTATGAACCATTGAAACTGGCAAATACAGACACCAGGCAATATAACATGCACTGTTGCACCTATATGTAGTAGTACTAGTTTGTTCTCCTACATTACGGCTGACCTCAACAATAGTTTCAGCGCAAACTTGCATTTGGCAACACTGAGACAAGGACCTCTGCAGATTGTATGCTCTCTTTGAGAGCTGTCTTTATTGGATCCTTTTAGTAGTTACATTTCACTAGTTCATCTCTCTTCACACTTGTCATTTTCATGTTGATTGAATGAACTGCACTGGAATCAGACAGGCCCATTTACACCCACGGGAAATATGTGAAAGATACTACATTACAACCGCTGGTGACAACATGTGACCTTTTTATGTGCATCATATGCTTAACACTCCTCTGCCATACCATTCTCAAGATATAATGCACCGAATTGCAAAATTTTTCTTTATAATTATCCTGTACACCACCCCCTCATTTGAAGCATGTATCAACTTCAATTTTCTCAAAGAATTGTCATATAAATAACGTTTAATGTAGGAATGCTGAAAAATATCTTATTCAAATAAGACTCCAACCTAATTTACAAAAAAAAAGATTTTAGTTCTAAACAGTTGCTCCCTAAAATAAGAAATTTTCTTTAATCCAGATAATTGACACAAATGGTGCTTTTTTCTTTTTTATCATAATCTCAAGCTTTAATATCTTGTTTCCCAATACCTAACCAAAATTTCTGGATGTAGAAAAGTACATTAACCCTGTGAATCTTAACAGCCATGAACCTAATAAGTGCATACAACATGTTATTTGCATTAGCTGTTTGCATAACAGTTTTCTAATACCGATTGAATCACTTTTTTTTTTTACTACAGGTGTCATCCTTTTTACTTTCATTAGTTTTCATGAGAGTTCAGCTATAGTGACAAGTGTAGTCATGGGAATAGGGATAATATTTTGTGGAGCAGCTTCAGTTCATAACATGTATTTGTGGCAAGGAGAGAAGATAAGCACAAGATACCGGTTATCAAAAAGAAAACTCCACGAAACAAGCCTGCAACCGGACTTAACAGCTCATGTTACAGAGCTTTCCACACTTGTATGACTGAGTTCATGATACAGAGTTCAAGTTTCTCTGTCAAATTAAAGCAGTTTAAAATTGATAAGTTCTTTGATTCTACAGGTGCATAGAATCAGCTAGTAACTGAGATACCTAACAATGGTAGTGTGACAAGATGTTACTCAACAATCCAAAGGGAAAAAAAAACATGTTTGAATACTGTTAACTAAATGAAAATGTTTCTATAAAAATATTAACCACTATCCATTAATTTTAAGACTGTAATTACACGTTACTAGCTAGCAGTGTTTTACCCAAAATAAAATCCTCGTGAACATTTATTCCGGAAGAGCTGAGCATCATTTTCTATCAGAAATGAAGGTAATTTTCACTTACTAAATAAACAATACATACAACGTATCTCCTCACTACATTTCTTTTCACCATCTTGTAAATTTTATTATAACCACATTTCTAAATTTATAAGCCACTAAAAACTTGAACATTAAAATAAAAAACAATTTTGGAAATATACAATTAATTAATAATTAAGTCTTGTTGTAATCAAAATTAATTTGTAGTGGACTTCAATTAAAAATAAAGGACTAACCACAGATATGAAAAAAATTGTCTCATTAAAGTAATTCCTGAAATTCAACATGTGTATTTTTGTTTCATACATAAAGTTATTTAAATTAATTATATTACATTTAAAAATTTCTTTAAGAAAATACTGAAGTGATGCTATAATTAAAATAAAAGTTAAATTGCTTGAAAACTGAGTTTTTAGATTATTGAGCTAAAGTGATCCTATTGTATGTTTAAAACAAACTATCTACATAATGCTGACACACATCTTTTTCTCTATTTAAATTATTTACCGTTCAAGATTTAAGTATCTCTCCCCAGAATGTTGTATCATATTAAATAATACTGTTAAACCTGAATGTCATAAATTTGCAAATATTGAGCTTTCATATATCTAATTCACCCTCTCTCAACTTATCAAAGAACAAGGTAGCAGTACATACAACTTAGGGGTAGATTTAATGGTCAGCTAAAGCTGATTGGACATCTTTATATATGAAATTATTTGATTGATGTATAATATTGATATGAATAGAGCCCACCAGCTCCCCCTCCCCCCATTTTTTTTAGCTGACTAGGCATTTAGGCTTTAATCCGCTCCTGGTACAACTAGAAGTGAAAAACTATCAGAACAGCAGTGGTACATAATTAGTTGAAAATAAAATTTTATTTTCTGCAAGGTACTAGTTTCGATTCAGTTAAACTTTTTAGTGAAATGGCACATCACACAAAATCTTTAATACTATGAGAATAATGCTCAGTAAACATCCTTTAATGAACATAAAATATGTCATAAAAAACCTTATGAATGCTTTAAGTTCTAAGGGACAATTCTAACAAATTTTCAATCTGGATAGATTGAACAACAAAAATATTTGTTGAAAGCCTTTATAAAAATTTATAAGTCTAAAACCACAAGTGTTGTAAGCCTAATCTTTTCTACTAAAATAAGAAAGAACCTTCTTAACAGATGGTTGCATTTTAAAAAAATAACCTAAGACGGTCTTCTCTAGTAAATTTTTTTTGTAATACAATATTGCACACTGTCTTTCTTTTTTTTCATAAGAAATGTTTAAAAATAATATACCATGGATACTTAAGGTTTAACTTGATATTTACAATACTAACAGAAAATTAGATGACACTGGTAACAGTCTGCATAAAACTTGATTAGAATTATAACTTTGCTCTTCAGCATATGTCATAAGTTAATTTAGTTTTAAAACATTCAAATTCCCAAGTAACTGAATTTAGACTCTTCCATGCAAATGATCTAAACACACCAATCTAAATTCATGTATTACCATAATTATATCTTAATCTTCTGATACAACATATGGCATAAATCCATAAAGGTACAAACCTTATATTTACCCATTTTTAACAATTGAGTTACCCTGATAATATGAACATAAAAAAACTTGTATATTCCCTGAAAAAAATGACCACATCATCCCAGTAGCCCTCCTTTATAAAGTGAAACCAGGCAATCAATATTCAAACATTGTCATCTCAAAACCTCTGCATGGTCACTGTAAAAGAATCAATAAAAACAAACAATTGTGGAAATAGGACAATTAAATAATATTAGTCCTGAAAATGGTATAAATTTATATATATCACTAATACAAAATCTTAAACATAATTGGGATGAAACGGTTCATAAGTTACAAGAATAACAAGAAAACCACAATTTTATAAGAAAATTTATCTTATCCCCTTAAAAAACATGGAATAAAGCCCTCCTGCCACAGTGAAGGTGACAAACTCCAAAAACAGAATACGTAATGGATCAGGAACTTAGAAACTGTAAACTATTTTTTCATCTTAATGACTTTTTTTGCAATTTATACACTTCCAATTGTATTTATATTTTAAAGTTAACAATATTTACAAGTTCTTTTAGATATACTGTGTAATACTTAATTTTTTTCTCAACTTGTTGCCAAATATACAATGCAAAATCATAGAGGTAAAACTCATTTAAATCTACACAAATCTATACTGATATCATATTTGACCTAACTTACAATAAACAGATCTATAATGGTGTGCTACAAGGTTATGTGAAACAGAGGCTATTATTCACAGTATAATAAAATATTCTAACCAAAGTAATGTTCACAAGCATTAAAAAAGGAGAGTGAAATAGGGGAGAATAGTCCTCTCTGCCAAATGTTACTATTTTAAACTTTCAGAAGAATTTACAAAATTCATATATTTTATTTAATGGTTCACATTGATTATTGTAATAAAAAATAACAGTTTCAAATTACCAGATATGGAAATATCAGATGCAAGTAAAATGCATAATTAAAACTAAAAAAATATGAAATTTAAAAACAAATCAATACTATACTTTTCCTAGTGTTTTCTAAAATTTTAATTAATACAATTGTACAAAAATAGAATGTGTGCAATAAAAGTTATTCAAAATATTCAGACAACTTACTGATATTAATGGTGCAAAGACATTTCTGCAAATTTGTCATTAAATGATTTAGCCATACGTCCTTTGGAATATTTATATTCTTCCAATAAACCTGTACCATAAAACATGCAATTAATTTTTTAATATTTAACACTTAAAAATTATAGAACATTTCAGCCTCGTAATGTGGGTAAAAATTTAACCCATTGACAGTTGAGTGCAAGTGTGCTATAAACGGTGTATCACTTGCAAAAATTCCATGTGCATTTAGAGCACCCGTGGTCAATGGGTTAAGGAAAAAATCTTCATACAAATACTACATATAGGCTTAATTTTATAAACAAGCTTTTAATTGTTTGGTAAATAATTCTTCAGGCATTTAAAGCTATTTACAGTTTTCTTTTTACAAAGTTATCATACAAAATTTAGAAAATAAGCACAAATATTCACCACTGAACAGTAATGTAGAAATAAAAGTAAACTGTTTGTAAAATTCAATAGTTCTTCACAACTGTTTAGAGGCAAGAGACCTTCAAAAACTTAAAGCAAGCTACAGTCATTAAGAAATATTTAAATTTTTTAAATGAATATCGTAATTCTTTTTTTTTGTTTCAAAACTTCAAATTCTTTGCAAAATGTTGATTTTTAAATAACTACAATTTGTTTTAATAAAGAAGTTTAATTTTTCTTTTAAATAATTTATATTTCATAACAAAGTTAGACTAATTACAAGTCTAATAAAAATAGCTTATAGGAATAGGCAAAATTTTAAAGAAATCAGTATCTGTCAAAATCTCAAGCAAACAAAGATTTAAAGTAGAGAAGCTTAAAATCACTTCTGCTTGTGTCATTGTATAAACCCTCCAATTAATTTAAATAACTTTAAAAGGTATTACTCTTTATATATGCTAAATAATGTAACTGTTGTGCAACCTTTATAGACATACTCAAGGTTTTTTTTTTACAACTTCTAATACCAATATAACTAATCCATTTAATGAAAAGTTACTGCCTTGCAGACTACTTCAATATATGTATAGTAACTCCTTAGGCCTATGACAATACTTTTTGAGTGACAATTACACTCTGAATCAAACATACTTAGTGTAAAAACAAGTTCTTTTCAAATGTTTAGAACAAAAACTTTATAAATGGAATAAATATTTAATTACTGAAGTTGTTTTATTAATAAAGAGGAAATTATATGCAATTTTTATTAAAACTACTACATTTGAAATATTTACCCACTAAAAAAATTTTGAAGTTTTTCCATCAATTTTAATTTTGTTTTTGATGTACAAAACAAAATCTACTTCTAACACTAGAGCAGTATAACTTATCTTACAAGTCTCTCAAGTTTATTATTTTCATGTGTGTTGGATCCAAGTAAAGGTTTCAAACAGTAGTTACAATTTATTTGGCTTTATAATGAAAATCCAAAATGCTAAGAAAAACAAACATCCAACTTCATTTTGCTCATAAATAACAAACATACTGACCCCATGATTCATATTTGTCCTTTTCCACAATAGACACCATTATACAGCATTTCTTAAACCATGTATTATCAAGTTCCATAACAGCTGCTTCTGCCATCTCCAGAGTTGGTAATAACACCAAAGCCTGTGTACTAAGCATCAAAAACAAACTTATTTCTTCGAGTATCACACCTGTGTGTGTGGAAAGGGTTGAGTAAATTGTTTTAAAAATGATTCTGAATATTCATATCAGCAAGTTATATGACAACCACAGCCCATATAAAGTAATTGGAATGTCTTGCATTTAAAATACATTTTGACATCATTTGGAGTTTTTATACAAAATCTGATATCAGCAAAAATTGATCAGTTTGGGAAGGACATGTAACAGCTCTTTCCAACACAATATTCATACACTCAGATCATATGGATGTGTTCAGATAAAGGACTTGTAATTTCTAAAATGAGGATATCCTTTTTACTTAAAGACATTGGAAAACAAATGAATATGGATTAAATTAGGATATGAAGACTACCTAGAAAAGATCTGCAACAAGTTGTGCTCCAAGTATGGTAAGCAAAGTGTGACATTTTGTAACAGATGAGGATCACAAACACAGAGGTCAGAGGCAAAGCCATGCATGTGGCCCAGGCAACACAACATAAGCAAGAAGGATCTGCATCTGAAAAAGTGACAAAGCCATTTACACAACATATCAATTAACAATCACATACCTTAAGAAGCTTCAAAATGAAATAGATACTCATGCTATTCCATACAAAGACATACCAGTCAAGTCTCGAGATGCAATGACTAAAGATTTCTTTGTCATCAGTGTGATGAAATGAGCATTCAGAAACATGTCCTTATACATTATATGGATTATGGATAGCAAATAGGGAGGAGTGGTGTGTTTTGGACATAGTCATATGACAGAGCCATTTTTGTAATAAAAAGCTATACTACAGAGCTGTTGTCAAAATATATATATTCATCAAGTATACAATGATCGGATGTGGTGACATGGGATGTAACAATGCGTGACGAGATCCCATAATCATTTTCATATAGTATACCCTAACATTTGTACATGTAAACAAATTACTTTTTCACCAACACAAAATTAAATGTAATTTCTTTCAAATCTCAACAGCTTGAAATATTTTTTTATGGAGTTCAATACTTTTTGAGCAAAATTAAAATGTGAAGCTTTTGAAAATTGTGCCTGTTAAATATATGAAAGTTTGACAAACATTAACATGCTCTTTCCAAAATAATTATCAATATCCAATTTGGAAATCAAAGACAACCAATGTTGAGACAATTAGCAACTAAGTGAATGGGATTAAAGAATTGAAGATAGTAATTAGTTACATATAAGTGAAAAATTAGAAATGCAAACCCTCTCATCTTGAAGCAAGTCTATTCAAAATGAGCATAGAAGTAAAAATATTAAATCAGTAAAGTTGGGAGTACAGTAATACTGGATTTGAAACTGATTAATTACAACCACTTGGATTTATTGTCCTCTCACCTAAAAGAATGACAAAAAGTTAAAAGAAAATGTCAGAATACATTAATACAACTAAAAGTTTTCTTCTTGATTATCTAATTCTTATTACCCAAATGCCAAAGTCTGGCAACGTTTCAAAAACCAGTAGGCATAATATTCATGATAAATATTATGCTGCACTGCACAAATGAAAGATTCATGGCTAATGTATTTTCACAGAAAATATCAATAAACTGGCTACATATAGCCGCACATGTTTATTCTACAATACACAATTCCTGAAAACAGAAGAATTCTGGGTAAATCCATATTGTAAACACATTTAAAACCAACCACACATGCAAAAAAAAAAGAATTGTAAACTTATTGTAATTTAGTCTAATAATTTGTTGTAGCCTCTAATATTTTAACTGTTCCTCCTCCTTATTAAAACTTCAACATTTCATCATACATTTATAAGAATTTTAATTATATAAAGGTAAGACAACTAAGAGAACTACTAAAACAATGAAAAGCCTAATCCCTGATCTAATTTTTTAACCAGAGGTTTACAAAAAATTCAGAATTTCTTTTGCATGATCTTACGATTCTTTACAGCAACAAAAATCTCATGGCTGTGACTATAATTTCAGATCTGCTATGTTCTTATGAAAACTGTCCAAATGCTAAACAACACTTCAAAAAATCTGCAAGTTAATTTTTACTGGAAAAACAAGCAATATAAAATAGAAGGATTTTAAAAACTTACCACAAACTTTTACCACTTTTCCATTAAAATCTTTATGAAATGATTTATTGTTGGGAGTTACACTCAAAATTGAAATAGTATTCACAATATTTTAAATATCTTTATTGATATCATTAATTCAAATGGTATTTTTTATCTTAGAAAATATGCAACTTACAATGGCCTTTTTAATATTGGTGCATTGTTGATCATCTCCACATCCAATGGTTCAAACAAATCAAAAAGTTGCAAGATGTCTTGCTAGGTATATGTAAAAAAAAAATGCAGACATAAATATGTTATAACATTTAAATAAGGACCACATTATTCAAAAGTTTATTAGAAATAACACACTGATCATTGTAATCCATTTAATCATGGATTTCTCAGATCTTATTTTACACTTGTAATAGATTGTACTGGTTTTCAATTTCATGAACAACGGACTGCAGGAGTTTAACAAAGTGCCTTATTAACAGCTACAGCTTAGTTTACTCGAGTAGCTTAAGCAATGTAAGCTGACCTATAAGCTGAAATACAACCTACGTTACATAACTAAGTGATTTAAGATGAGCCAAGAAGATTATTAGAAGATTAATGAGCTGAACTACAGACTGGTTTAGCTAAGACTTATAAACTGAACTATAGATTATGTTATCATATCAATAAATAGTGTCAGTTATCACTTTATCATAATGATGGTTAATCAAGAAAAAGCACCATATTTTTCTATCCATTTAAAAAAAATTTTTTTTTGTCCTTTCACTAAATGAGTATGAAGTAAGGGTAATTAATATCAATTGATTTCATTCAGGATTATTTGCATAATTTTAGAAATTTAATTCAAAACATCAATTATTTAACCAGTAGTTAAATTGGGATTTCAAAAAAGGTGAAGCTCCCTTTTTGTGATCCACTTTGACATTCCAAACAGAAAACCAGGAACACTAAAGGCTTAAATCCTCTGTACCTCCTCAACTTAACCCAACTGTAATCAGTTTTATTTATCACATCATATGGAATATTTTTAATAAAATAGCAAAAAAAATCAATGAACATGCCTAATCATATTGTAAATGCATATATTTATGTAACTTAAAAAGTAATACATAAAACTATTATAACCAATATGTAATTTCACAATTTTGGGGCAAAAAATGTTAAAATTTTTTTAAAATTTGACAAGTCCCAAAAACATATTACAGTATGAAATTTATGCAAATATTTAACTTTATTTCAATAAGCAGCATTACTTTGTTAGAACAAGCCATGGCGAACCAATTTTAGCCATCTATATAGTTAAGAGTAGGGAAGTATGAACAACATCACCATAAGGGTAAGGGAGGGGTGGGTGTATATAGTACTTTGCATTGCAAAGAGAAAGGTAAATGGAGAATGAATCTGTCATCCCTTAAGAGTCCCATCTCAAACAGCAGCATTTGTGTGTTAAAGTTATGTGTATATTTATTCATTTGTTTATAAACACTTAGGGTACCAGTGCCATCAGACTGCTGAGTAGGGGCCTGGGAACAATATCACCATGTTTTAATGCCAGTTTTTATCAACCAGTTCAACTCAAAGTGTCTTTTGTATTAGAAGTGTTGTGTAATGGATTTAACCTTACAATCACTGAGATGCCCACAGATTCATTGAGAGCTCTAAATACCTAACTTCATACATAAGTAGTCTAGGCAAGTCACTTAACTATAGGGCAGTAGAAGTGATCCTAATTACTTTTACATTTTTAAATTTTGTTTATTGAAATATAAAATACCACAATCAAAAAAATGTTTCACATACAAAACAAAACTTTTCCCCCCAATACCTATTAAATCAGAAATCTTATCATAATGGAGCTTGCCATGTATATGTCCAAAACTCAGATTTCAGAAACTATCGCACAGACAATATTTTAATAACTAGGCAGTATTTTTATAGCTGAGCCATAAATAAAACAATTGAAATTTACACAAAAATGGTATGTTTCAGATTTAACCAATAATAATTACAAACAAAAAGGAGTAAGTTTCAAACATAAAACAATCAACAACAAACTTGAAAAAAATATTTGTTTTTCTTTAATGAAAATCTCATGAGTGCTGCAAAAGAAAAGCAAGGCTCTTTCATCAATAACTGCATCTACAAAGAAATACTTCAGTAAAACCTACTCTGTGATGCAATGCTGTGATGATAGCTCATTTTTAAACTAAAATTTCAATAAAATCCTCTTTCTCATGGATGGTGAACATTACTGAATGTCAAGTACGAGTACATTGTTGTAGAACTGTCAGACAATTCCAGAAAAGGCTGCAGGCACAATAGCCTTCTGCAGGAACTAGCAGTTATACCTGCCTGGAGGGTGGGAATTTCTGCTAGTGTATTTAATGGAAAATACAATGCAATACGTACAGATAATTTTTTCTTTCAAGAAGAAAAAATGTATATAATTACTATTTTATAACTAACTTAATTGGAAAATATGCTTAATTTAGAGTGAAATGTTCTTGATGCAGGAGATTCTACATAAAATAAGCAGCTATAAAACAAGCAACTAATGACAATTTTGAAATCTACTGTGGTTATCAGTTCTCTTCCATTCTAAGCAAACACTTCAGACAGCATTTCTCTCTATACCTATTGTCTAAATAAACAGAATCAATCTATAGAATTTGTTCACAGGATTTAAATATAATTCTATTTCTAGTGCCCAACTATTTTTTGAACTGCAAATTTCTCGATATTCTTCTCCTTTCAATCGAATTAACAATAAAACTCAATTTGTCATACATTTACAACACAAGAAAATCAAATAAAATAACAAGTTTCATAGTGTATAACTATTGTGAACTGACAATTATATGAACTCAAAGTTTCTTGTTATTATAATTTTATGTTTTATTTAATACAGTACTTTAGTTATAGACATATTACTAGTAAGTAGCATTTTGAATGTAAAGTTTACCTATAGCTTATAAGCAACAAAGAATCTAAGAAAAACTATGCTTTAATTAATGGAGAAGGAAGAGCTCTTTATGATGCAAAAAAATTCAGTAAAACACTAAGGTAAGAAAATAATCATTAACTATAGAGTTTCTCTTAGTGTCATCAGTCTTAATACTGTTGTAGAAAACAGTAAACTACAGTATAAATACTGTTGTAGAAGAAAGTTAGCTATTAAAGCATGCACAAACTATGAATACATACATATTAATAATTTTAAACAAACAACGAAACACAGGAAATAACATCTAGCTCACCAGTGTTCTCCGCCCTCCCCCCACCAGCCCTTTCTAACCTATCAGTACAAATACAATTTTACTTTCACCAATACACCTTTCTGTGTGCCAACCGATATTCTAAAACATATATCTAACACTCTTCATTTGACGTGTAACAGCACTCCCTAATGAGCTATTTACCATGCATATAGCACAAGCTAGTGTTCTTATTGTAATGCTTACTAGTTCATGGTAGTTCTACCACTGTATTTTCAGGCCTGAACAATTACACATTCTTCACTCGCATGACTAGCCTGAAATATTCCTTAGTTGTAGGGTTTTTTAAAACATTTTTACTGGGGAGAACCTTGCTCACACAATGAAAGTATGAATTTTTAATACATTAGGATTCCAAAAAATAATATAAATGAATCTTGATAAAAAGACATACTAAGTGCAACTTAAAACAAACTGAAAAAACCATTTGTTTAAATGTACTGGTATAAAATGTTTCCACTTGAACTTGTGTAATTAAAAACACTAATCCCTTTTGCATTTCAAGTGTGAACAGAAAAATATGAAACAGATTTTCATTTCAAATGATAACTACAAAGAATGTTTTACATAAATCCAAAGTTTTATCACCAGATCATTCTGAACTTTAAGTTTCGTTTTTTTAACTGCAGTTTATATGTGGGGTAAACTTCTGGATGACTGCTGTATTTGCAAAAATTTTGATAGTTATTGTGTCTGGCTAGAGTAAGTTATATTCAGTTTCTATAAGTTATCTGCCAAAAAGAAAATTATAACTAAATCACTTTCTTTGAATAAAACTTTTTTTTAAGCTAGTACTTTTATTAATACTTATTAAAATTAGAAACAGTAAGTTAATGGTATATTTGTTTAATAAGGAAATAAATCCCAGCCTATAAAATATTTTATGAAAATTTTAGGGTTAGACTTTTTTTTTGGCCTAATGTGAAACTAGTCATTTTAAACTTTTGGTTTAATCATTTCAATATCAAAACTAACTACACAGCATGGTCACAAGTAAATAGACACCACCTTTTCAGAAAAAATGAAATTTTTAAGTCATATTCACATGAATTGATATATTTATAATTTAACTAATATCTAGTAGATCTTCCTTTCACTTCGTGGAGTTCGTTGATCCTTTGGGGCATCGTGAGAATCATCTCGTCAATTTTAGATTGTGGGATGTTTGCCCACTCTTGCTTCAAAACTTGGAGTAGATCGCTCTTCAATGTTGGTTTCTTTGGTTGTTTCTTGACTTGTTGGTCGAGTATGGCCCAG